TCAATCCGTATTAAGGGCCCCGCCTCGCGCCGCTGCGGCGGCGGCCGCGGCTTTCGCGCTTGCGGCCCCTCCATTCGCTCGAATTCCCCAATCGGGCCCCCGCCTGCCGCCCATCGGCGCGCCGGGGCGAAAACACATGCACCACTCCTGCGCCCGGCCCGCAGCGGTGGGTGCGGCGAGCACCCTGCCGATGGCACAAACCCCAAATCTCTCTTTGACCGCGCGCCCTTTGGCTGCGGGTGCGCGTGCACCCGGCGCGTCAACCGCGGGCGGGGCGGCCTGGGCGGGAGCTCCCAGCAGACCGCGGGGGGAGGGGGCGTCAGCGGCTTCCAGGGGCCGGCCTCGGCCCCGGGCGAGCCCCTGACCAGCAGGCGCGGAGGCTCCCGCCTCTGGCATCCCCCCCCCCCTTGCATCAGCACAGCTGACGCGCCGCCTGTTCGCCCTCCGCCGCAGCTCTGCGTGCCTGCGGGGCTCCGCGTCGCCTGCAGCCCGCCGTGGCGGCGCCGCCGCCGCTGCGCCTCTCTCTTCCGGAATCAGCCTGCGAGCGTAGTGACACGGCAACTACACGCACACACACTGGATGGACGGCGCGCCCCGCGCCAATGTCACGGTCGGGCGCGCCTCAACCCTCTCCTTTCAGCTTTTTGACGGAATCCGGAATTGAGGAACCTCGTGGATCAGAAACGCCGGATTTACGCCGCAACCCCCCTAACTTGCCCAGCGCGCCGCCGCGGCGCGCCGCGGCCGGCCTGGCCCGCCGGCGCGCGGCCTGGCAGGCGCGGCGGCTGGCGCGACACAATGGGATTGGAACCTTGCTCCGCCGGCCCGCAGGCTAGTTGTCAAGCGAGGTGGCTTGAGCACCTTCCCCCCTCGGCCCGCACCAGCACGGGTGCGCCCCAAGTTGCTCCCGCGGTCTCGTGCCTTTTCCAGCAATGCTGCAGACACACACATACACACACACACACACACACCGACCCTTGATACACGCCGCGCACCGGACGCGCCGCGCGGGGCCGGCAATGGGCATGCCGACGCGGCCCCCTTTGGCAGGGGGTCCGGAGGCACTGGCAACTTGGGACGGCGCCGCAACCTTCCAACAAAGGGAGCGAGGGGATTTGCTAGGGTTTAAGCAATGCACAAGCGCGCCCCCGCTTGCAGGACCGGGGCGCCACTTTGGGCTCTTAGTAATGGGTTGGACCTGCGCCGAGGCGCGGCGCCGCCTGCGCGCGGCGGCCGCTTACCCCGGGCCGCATTGTTGACCCCCCTTCACGCACGATTCAGCGTTGCCCCATACCATGCGCTTGCCACGGGCTGCGGGCGTGGCACGCGACCCGGGGACCAGACCGGCTCAGGAATTTCCATCCATGATGTGGTGTGTGGGTGCGAGTGTGTGCGCGTTTAGTAGGTCTTCCGGGCTCGCACCAACGGTCGCACCATTTCAAAAATAGCGATGATCCAAAGGCAAAGGCATTGCTGAACGGCTGCGGCGGATCGCTGCGTCGCCACACGCGGCGGCAGCCCTGCGCCGCCACCGCGCGCGGCACCTCGATCCCGCGCCATCCCTCGAACCTTGCAACACGCGCGCCGCGCCGCTCGCGGTGCCAGCTGCCTGGAGTCCACGGGGGCGGCGCCGCCGCCGCCGCCGCTGCGCGCCTGCCCCACGCTGGCTGCTGCCGCTGCGTGGGGCCGTTCGCCGCGTGGCGGCGGGCGGCGCGCGGGTGTTCGGCTGCGGCGCCTCTCCGTGTTGGCGACGTCACTCCCCCTTGCCGTCAGGAGTTCACAGGCGGCCGGGCAACAAAACTTGTGTTGTAGCACCCACATCAACCGCTGGCGCCGGGCTTGGTGGGTCCGGGGAAGGATCTGTTGGCCACCTGCTCGGCCCAGCCCTTGCGATACGCGGGGCCCCTCAGAGTACTGCATGCCACAACCACAGATGCCCCCGCCCGCGCCGGCCCGCGGGCGCCGGCGCGGGCGCGCGCTCTGATCAGTCGCCCCGCAGCAGAGGGGGCAGGGCCGGGGCCGCTGCACCCACCCACGCACGTGCGAGCCAGGGGCCCCGGCCTGCGGCCCCCCGCGCTTGGGGGTTGATTTTCCTTCCGGGTTGTCCCTCAAAGCTTCTTGCGAGACCGGCCACCGCATAGGGCTGTGCTCGAGGCTGCGTGCCAGACAACAAAACGCCCGTGCGCGTGTCCGCTCGGTTCTCAATAATTGTCGCCCCCAACACAAAATTTGCGCTCTGTCGATCGCGGCCCGAGCCGCGCCCTCCCACGCGCGCGCCGCAGCCCAGTGGGGCCTGCGGGCCGCAGTCAGGCTCGCACACAAAAGGACTTTCATTGGGGATTGCCGGGTGTGAGTTGGCCGGCGGGATGCTGGATAGTATTGGGGGCGGGCGGGCTGATAGGCCGGGAAGGTGGGGGGCTGGATTGCAACCGTGGGTTCGCCTGCTGCTGAGCGCTGGAGTTATTGGCATTGGGTTGTGTGGCGGCGGCGGCGGCGGCAGGCTGCATGGGCGCAAGACGCCTCCCAGGGGCGGTTATTATTGATATTATTATTCAAGCAAAGCCCACTTGTTCTCCAAACAGCTGAGCTGTAAAGCTGCGGCTGGCTTTGACATCTCTCTTATGACGCAACTGGCCTGCCTTCCAACCAGGACGAGCCGCAGCCGTGCTGGGCGGGCGCCATAACGCCGCACACAGGCGGCCGTTTCGCGTGCAGCCGCAGCCTCCGCGCCCACAGGCCTGCCGCTGCCGCAGTGGGGTTTGGCAGCGGCTGAATGGCGCGCGGGAGCCGGCGGTGCTGCCAATAATCAGTGCCCATCAAGCCAGGGTAGCCGAAGCAGAGTGTTGGAGCAACAAGCGGAGGCGGTTACACGTTCCGACGACCAGGTCGACGCACTATGCTGCCAGAAAAAGCAGGGGGTGCATGTGCATCGAACTCGCGTCACCGGAAGCCAAACCGCTTGAACAGCGCAGCCATCCGCTGCGTGCGTCGGGGGGCGGGGCGTCGTGTCGAGGGCGAAAGGGTGAGTGCTCGGTCACTGATCAGGCTAGTGGAAGGAGTCTAGCTACAGCTGAGATGGCAGTTACAAAGCAAAGCAAAACAGGCATGTTTGAGGGGGGTGCACCTCTATAGCCAAGCTCCCAGGGCAGGGCCGGCTGCGGTGGGCGCAGCCGGGATGAGAAGCACGCATGAACGGCTGCCATCGCTCCTCGCCGGCGGCACGCCGCTGCATCGCCAGCAAGCAGGCGGATGCGCGCGGCTGGGGGCGCGGCGTGCAAGGGTCCCACCTGCAACCGGAGGTTGAGCTCAGCCCTCGCTGTGTCGCTCTTGGCCTGCCGGGACGCACACGCAAAACGAGGCGGGGAGCGGGGCGCGAGAGAGGCCGAGGATACTTGATCATGGGGCCCACAGGGCTTCCCGCGGGGCCGCCGCGCCAAGCCTTGCGATCCACGGCTTGCCCCCCGCCCGGTCTCAACCCGCTGCAACCCCCCCCCCCGGGCTCACCGAGTGTCGCACGCACATCAGCGCCGCGGCCCGCTGGCGGGTGCAGCCGCCGTCAGCCTCAACAAGGCCTTGGCGCTGCGGGATGGGCAGGGGCGCATGCACGCACATGTGGCGCATTGGGGGCGAGGGGGGGTGTCAGCGCACACGCCAAATGGCAACCTCTGTACGCAGCGCACCGGCACACGGCACACCGCTTGCTGCAGCCAGCCAGAGCAGCGGCTGCAGCGGCCGCTGTTTGTGGGGCGCCCAGGCGCCGCGCCGCGCTGCGGGCCGCGTCCTTGCAGCACCCCCGTCGCTGGGTCGGCAGCTGCGGGGCAGAGCCACGCTCGGGCCTGCCGCATTCCCCCCGCCCCTGCCCCCCTGCCAGCGCCGCGTGCACTGAGCCTGCCACCATTCGGCGCCCCCAGGTTGCAAGGCCCAGAGCCAATCCTGGAAACCAGCCTCAGAAACGGGTGCGCACCGCCATACATTCCATGAGAGATTTGATCTCCTCAGTACACTGCAGCCGCTGGCTGGTCAGCTTCTTGGACAGGCCGCTCAGGTCGGGCTCCTTGCGGCTATTGCGCCCCATGGCGGCGCCCCGCTCCTGCCGCCGCCGCCGTCGCCGACGCGCGACGCGCGGGCCGCCCGTGGCGCGCGCGCAGCGCTGCTGCGATGCCCGCCGCTGTTGCTGTCCCTGCAAGTGCAATGAGATTGGGGCCACGCAGCTCGCGCGTTTGGTTCACTAGCTAGTTCCGAAGATTTTCTGCATGAAGAACAGCGTTGCGCAGCACCGTCGAGATCACGAGCTGATCTGCGGTCGAAGCGATATGAGCGACGAATGGATTGTGATAGGTGGCAAGGGCAAGCCTCGGAAAAACCAGTCTATACCCGGAGGCCGCCCGCCGCATTTGGCAGCAGAGGCGGTGACGGCAGCAGGGGCGGCGCGGACCAACACAGTGGCTGCTCTTCCTGGCTGGGACGCTGCTGACACGGTGCCGTCCCACGCATCCACAACAGAAGCGACCATAGCTGCATCCGGCGCCCGCCGCGGGCGCCGCCCCCGGGCGGCCCGCACGCCTGAGGACCGGTTGCGGGCCCTGGCTGCGGTGGTGGAAGACTGCCGGCGAGAGCTCTCCGCGGCGCCTGTAATGGCGCGCCTCCAAGAAGCGATGGCCGCCGCCGAGGCGCGCGCGGGCGCGCAGGGGTGGCGGTGGCAGGGGGTTCGGCAGCTGGTGGTTTATGGGCTCGGCTGCATTGAGGACAGCAGAGTGTCTCGCTACCAGGTGTGTAGGGGTTGACATTGATCAAGCGGGGCGGCGGCGGGGCCGGCGCCAAGCGCACGGCTGCCGACGAATTCGGCTGCCTTCAGCGCTGCTTTGTGCTTTCACAAAAGCAATGCAGCCCGGCTGTTCTCCCAATCAGGCCGCAACCCAAGTCCACTGGCCGAGAACCCACCCTCACTCGTCC